AAGCTATCACTGTTCTCACACGGCAGCAGGAAAAAATGGGCGCAACCGACAGATTTATCAGATTAGGGGAGTTACCTGAAACAGAGAAGCTGCGTCGCGAACCCTCGACCGTATCTCTGGTTTTATGATTTTCTCGGGAAACAAACACATCTCTATGCTTCTGACCCGAAGGTATCTGATTCTTTCTCTCGATATCCTTTTCCCCGCAAATTTTCTGTGCCCTAGTTCCGAGTTATCATCTAATATCTTCTTCATAAAGTTCATGAAAATGCCAAGCGAATGAAGCAGTTTGATCTAAGATTCTGGTTCATTTTCTGATCCAAATTCCTTGAGTTAACGTGAAGTTCTCCCTTTGATTTCCTGTTGTTGTGAGTTACCGCTTCAATTGCAAGTCGAAAACTTTTCTCAGATGCTCTCATGGGTCTAAAGCCATAACCTGGAAAGAGTTTATGATGTTTCACTCATGGGTCTAACCCATAACTTGGATGGTCTTTGACTTTGTAACATTTTATCAGTGTTGTGGATCTGAGAGATAGGTTTTGTCTAGTTGTACAGGTTTTCATTTCATGTGTGAATCATTAACGATTTCTCTGATGATCTCAACTTTTACATTTCAGTTCAGCTCTTGGAAAGAAGAATGAGATGGAAAGAGTATGTGAGTTCTGCTCTGTTTGGAAACCAGTGGTTTACTGCAAAGCCGATGCAGCAAGTCTTTGTCTGTCCTGCGATGCGAAGGTCCATTCAGCTAATGCACTTTCTGGCAGGCATCTACGTACACTTGTCTGTGATTCCTGCAGATTCCGACCTTCCGCTGTCCGGTGTTTAGACCATTGCATGTTTTTCTGCCACGGCTGTGACAGAAACCTTCATGGCGTCTCCTCTCATCATCAGAGACGTGTTGTCAACTGTTACACTGGTTGCCCTTCTGCTAAAGATTTCGCCTTTATGTGGGGTATCCGAGTTAATTATGATAATGCTAAGCTGGACCGTCGTTATGATTCGGGTATATCCAGAGGGTGTTCCGAAATGTTAGTCTCTTTTGAACCAGGATCAAGCTCTAGAAAGAAAAAGGTCTGACATTGTTGCATACCGTTTATTCTTTTCAGACAAACAATCTCTCGATGAAGATAATGTCACGATGATTGCGTTGCAGGGTAAGCTTCAGAGAGATACTGGATTTATCTTGGAACAGATTCTTGAATTGGAGAAGCTTCAGCTCAGCGAAGAAGCTGCTTCCATTAGCAACGTTTCAGACATTCTGCCTCGTTCGAAAGAGCGTGTAAGCGACATTCCAGAGCTCGAGAAAGATCTGATGGTGGATTTTTCGCAATCCCCTTTTCCTCAGATGGAACCTTTGTCTTCATCTTCTGCTGGCGAAAACTCCTTCTGGCAATGCAAAGTCCCATCTAAGAGTTATCAGGTTGAAACTTCTTTCGATTTCAATCTTGCATAAAAAAGAATCCGGGTGTGATTTAGTAGTTTTCTTCAAAGGGCTTTATGGAATTTGTTTTGGAATGTTTCATGCGTTTGGTTTGTCGCTGCGTCTGTTTTCTTGCAGCAGTGGAATCAAAACTTGCAAGATATCGGTGTTTGTGAAGAGACTGAGAACAGTGATGACTTTGATATTCCTGATATAGACCTCACTTTCCGAAACTTTGAAGAACTTTTCGGAAACGATCAAGATCTGATCACGGGACTTGCCAACGGTAACATGATTTCCTCTTCTGTTTCCTCGGGAGAAATGGGATCATCACTCTTCATATCAGAAAACTGCAGTGCAAAAGCATCCAAGGTATGAACTCTAACCCATAGAATTAGTATATATCAAGATCCATTACCAAAAAGTTTGTTCTTTTCTAATGTTTCCATGGCTTCTTCATTTAACTCCGATTTATCTGTTCTCAGATGAAGAGAGGTCCTTCTCCGGACAACAGAAATCGTGAATCAACTGAGAAAACAGAGGACTCCCTTCTTGCAGTTAAGCCGGCTTCAAGATTCAGCGGTGGAAGGGATTGCCATTACAGCCAGTCCGATGAAGTCTCTTGTTGTTCACCTCTCTCGGAGAACACCCATTTGGGGTTTCGCCAAAACGCCATTTCAAGGCTCAAGGAGAAGAAAAAGGCCCGAACGTAAGTTCCTTACGAGGAAAATTTCATTCTTGAAAGCCACACATAAACATAAAGAGTAACTTAACTTGTTATGTTCTGATCTCATTCTAACTTCTACGAATATCAAGAATCATGAAAGCTAATGCTCTCTCCATAAACTTAATAATTTCATTGTTTTGTTTTGGTTCAGAGAGGAGAAGCAAAGTCATTATGTCCCGAGAAAGGCGAGAAGCGAAGCCAGGAAGCGAAGATTTGTCTTAACGGAAAGTTGCAGTTCCGACACAGTCGGTGCTACTGCTCGTAGCTACTGAACTGTTCCTTCAAACTCTTTGCCTTCTGTACATAGTTTCTGACATTTGCTCACCCTCTTTTTTCTTGTTACAATTCCTATTGATCTTTCATGTTTTCATGAGCTCTTGTATTGTGAATGAAGCCTTGATCTTGAATTTCAGTTTCTCCTAAGAGGGTTTGGCTTCGAAGGGCTAACATAACATAACAAACAATGGCAAAGACAAGTGGAAAACAATGTTAGGACTGGACAGTTCGCTTACCCCCAAACTTGAACGATGTTTTGATGAATGGACAAGAGTCAGGACAATAAAATGGGTTTGGTTATATCAATCAATAATGGCTTTGCAAAATATTGTATGCATTGTTTTTACAATTTGTTTAATTCCGTTTCCAGTAAACAACATAGATACACAGTAGTGCCATGAGAGAGGAGATCAAGAGGATGACAGTAAAGATAGAGAGCTTTTAAAAGTTACAGTCAAAGCTTTCTCGGTTCATTCCTCGGTCGGGTGAGGAGGAAGATAGGAGCTTTGTCTATGAAGATTCTCCGACCCTCTTTGGATATGTAGTCGTATTTCCACGCTGGTCCTACAAGCCACGACATGGCCGCCCCACCAAGCAAACCGCCAATCTGAAATCCCGACAATGACCATGACAGAATGATAAGAAAATAGACGAGACGAGACCCCAAAAGGAAGTTGTTCCATTTGCATTTCTGATACATCCAAGGGATGATGAATGAATACTTACATGTCCCCAGTTATCGATTCCTCTCGACATTAGCCCCATGGCCTGCGTATCAAATGCATGTTAATGTAAGATCAATCCAAAAAAATCTGGTTAAGATAAAAACTCGTTCCTTGTAATAAGTTTTTTTGTACTTACCATGTTTAGGATGATGACTTGGCCTATCTGCTGAAGATCTTCATTACCACCTCGGACCATCCCTTTGTGTCTCAGCACAAACACAGCAACTGACCCGACCTAACGGAGGAAAAAGGGCATTCATTTCTCGATACAGGGGTGAATGAACTCAGCTCGAAAGAGTGATCGATTCAGTGTAGGGCCGAAACAACCACTTACTAATCCGAATATTGCACCCGATGCACCAACCGAAGGTGCTTTGTTCAACCAGTAACTCATTGCTGAACCTAGAACTCTTAAATGGTTCTGAATCAGGGAACTCGGAACAAAAGAAACTCGGATCATCAAATAGTGAGGAAAAACGTTCACGGGCCATTACTTGCGATTGCAGAGGTCAAGTAAACCGCGAGAAATCTCTTTGGACCGCTTATACTCTCTGCTGTTGGCCCAACAGAATTCAAAGAATAACAATTTATCTAGAGAAAATAAAACAAAAACAAAAATTTAACCAAAAAGATGTCACCCAAAAAAGTATATCTGTATATAGACATTACCAGCTGAATGGTCAGAAACGGACCATGAGATGCATAGGATTTGCATGTAGGACAGAAGAGGTTGCAAGTCTCCATAGCTGGCCTTTGTTAATCAAACTATTAACCTGCATTAATCCACAGATTAATTTTCCACAAAAAGACAATAAATCGCGTTTCATCAGTTTGTGTGATTTACCTTGGCTCCCCAAATCAATACCTTCCCTTGTGTTGCAACTTGAGCAATATACATTCTGAAAGGCATTTGAGAATATGTATATAAGCTTTTAGCTCATACATTCTCTAAATATCTAAATGACAATGAACCCGGTTGCCGAGTAAAGCAAAAAGTGTCAAACTTTTTGAGTAAAATACCGATAAACATGAAACATGTAACTTTTTATTTGGTGTAGAAGAATTAGCACATACAATATGTTGATGGCGAGGAGAACGTCGGTCCATCTCCTTCGATTACGCGAATTTCTCCTTGAAGTGTCATGGTTTGATGGCCCTTCCTCATCTATAGGACCAATTCTACTCTCTCTTCCATTGGAGAAGCATACGGATAATGAATTTGGAGACAGAAGGATACTACTAACTCTAGTGTTTAAAAAATCAGTCCCGTTGCATTGGAAGACACTCTGACGGCCCAAAGCCTTCAGACAAGCAACCTCAGATAGATGATGAAGTTTCTGTTTCAGATGAATAATAAAGAAAGAAAGAATCTATGAAGTATGAAAAGAAAACCATTATCCATCAATTCACAAAACATCATAAAACTCGCAAACAAGACTCTCTGAATACGGAAAATATTAACTCCAGCCCTACAGAGGGAACAATCAATAAACCCTAATAATGTTAACATTTTCCAAACGTAAACAGGATCCTTGGGCATTCTCATAAACCCTGAAAGCATGTGCGCTTTCACAATGGAAAAACACAACCATATATTCGCATATAGCCAATGGAGACTTCATAATCATTTGGCATCTCAAAAAGAATACCGCACAATTCAAGCAGGATTGGACACAGAGAATGGGTTATCAGCTGATTTTGCCGCAAAACTAGCACATAGAGACAGAAAATAACTGAACTTTCAGGTTTCAAGTTCGAGCATATATCATTTATCCACACTGTGTAGAAACCGATCCGAGTGACAGACAGGACCTGGTCACCAATCTCATCGAATATACTCAACTCGCAAGAAAAATATCATCTTTCACCCAAGAATTGACTTAAACAAACACCCTCAGGAACAATTCTCATGCTTATATCATATAAAATCCAACCAAACGGAAAAATCGTGAACATTTAAAGCCCAGAAATTGCTCCAAGAGTTACCGAACCTTAAGGGAAGACCGGAGTACGAAGCCGAGGGGAATCTGGCGGCGGACGCGGTGGCAGAAGTGTACGGACGTGGCGGCCGTGACGACCCGAAAGACCAGAGAGCCAGATCCCGGCGAAACCGGGTCCCACCGCCACGGGAAGTGCTGAGATAATGACAAAGAAACCATCTCCATCATCGTCCGCTTTCTATCTCCCCCTCGTCTTTCACTCTTATTATTTTCCTCATCTTATTATAAATCATTTAATTTTTTTTAAATGCTCTACTTTCCATTACGTCGATATTCACATCCCATCTTTTCTACACGATTTTTTAATTAAAAATGCGAAATAATTAAATTAAAAAGAATCAAAGTAGAGCTGGAAAACCACGGAAGTGAGTTGAGGAAGAGGAATCGAACCCAGATACGAAACAAAGCGAACGAAACTACGTAAACGTACCCAAACGGACACGACACGGAGAACAAATCCGAACTAATCGTTCGTCCCTGTCGTGAAACCCTTCCGCATTGTCCGGATCATCTGACTTAACCACGAAACGACAGGACAAGTGTTGCGTGCTAAGAACAAATCCGATCTAATCGTTCGCTCCTTACGGTACCTTACTATAGGCCCATCATCGGCCCATGTTTGCCCATAGAGGTCAATATAAGAAATGACAAAAATACCCCTAACATCAGAAATCTTCCACGTCAGCATAAAAGAAAAAACCAGAGCAAGATTAGAGATTACAGCATATGAATGAGGGGCAAAGTCTGTCAAATAGCACTCTACTTAACTACTCAGTTCCTTAGCTGTTTTTATTCACAAGCGAGCTTCGTGTCGAAGCTGCTCAAGCATATGGCGAAAGCTTGAAAGGCCGACAATGGATACCTGTAATCCATCGTGAACATGTCCTTCCCCACTTTCCCGAACTGAAGAATCACCTTCTCCTGATCGTGTTGCGATGACGTCGTCGCCATCCCCGGGGCCGGCGGCGGCGGCGGGCC